CAAGAGCCCCTGGTTTTCACTTCCATCTTACAGATGAAGGTAAAGCACAGAGAAATCAACATGATTACTCAGGGTTGCACAGCTCATTGCTGGTAGGGCTGGGATGCAAACCCGATTCCAGAGTCTATACTTTGAACCCCTCTGAGATACGGCCCAGAGCTCCAGCTGGACAGCAGGATGAGGAGGCCAGTTTGCACTAATGTCAAAGGGAGTCACTTGAGCTTGGTAGTTACTGATAGCCCAAGTCGGGATTCGAACTCAGAATGCCTTTAGGTACCAAACTGAGAGTCTTTCCACTTTGCACAACTCGTCAGCAAGGCTGGAAGCTGGTCTGTGCGATCAGAGCAGCCTCTCCTCCAGTACTGACCCCTGATTCCCACCCATCCCCACCCCCGCCTCTGCCCCATGCACTCAAAGACAATTTCCATCATCTTTCATGGTGGGAAGATACAAGGGGAAGATAGCTGTTTTTCAAATCAGGAAGTGATAAAGCAATAGCTTAACATCAAATCCAACTGCTCCCTTTTACAGCAAGCCACCAGGCCCAGAGAACTCAGGTCATGCCCTGGATTCACTGCTCCCTGGATCATGCTGGCTTCTTGGTCTCTGGTGGCCTGAGTTACCTGGCCAGACTGCACCATGATGCTGGCTTCCTAAATTGGTACCAAGTCTGCCTAAAGCTTTGTTTGGCAGGAAGATGCAGCTCACACACGGGTGTAGAACAAAGTGTCTGCTTGCTGATGAAGGTCCAAGCCATGCAGAAGTGTGTCCTGAGACTCCTGAGACAGGCAGCCTTCCTCTGGGACTTTCCCTGTCCCGCTTCCCAAGGGTAGTCACTTAACAGAGCCCTCTCCAATGGCGCCTTCATTTTCCTGCCAGCCATTGGGCTGCGCAGGATTCCTGCCACAGCAAGGCTATTTTTAACAAGCATCCTAGGCTTTGGGGGGTTGAGGAGAGGGGTAGCAAAAAGATTCCATTTGTATATTTTTAATCCATGCACATTTGAGAAGGCAGTGGCATTCTCATCCCTGCTGCAAGGGTTGTGGGCAATTGATCAGGCGCTGAGCGCTGGGTAATCCTTTTTCTTCCCGTAACAAGGCTGCAGGGTTTCCACGGGTTGGGGCCATGCTTCCCACCGCCTGGTTGTCTCCTGATCCCACTGCCCCAGCTCTCTCTCAAACCGCCGCCTGGAGAATCCTGGCAGGGTCTCCTGGGCCAAGGAGGTCTGGGAACCTGACTCTTGGTGCCAGACTCATATTTAGAAATGTCTCCAGCCAGACTTTGGCGTCTGTCCCACATGGGCCCAGGGCAGGGGGTGCACTCACATGTGCTGTCTACAAGCACATTCTGAGTAGGCAGTTCTCTATATGAATATAAACACGGCCCCTTTGTGTGGAGGAGCTGTGGGAACCTGTGCCCTTTGGGTACAGAGGGGTGTGTGCCAGTGGGCAGTGAACCACAGGGAGCAGGAGGACAGCTGTCACAAGGCTTGGGCTGGGCAAATGGTGGCCAGAAAGGAGAGCCAGCTCCTGGTCCACCATCTACCCATTTTCTCCACCCCTTCCCCAGGTACCTAGGGCATTCCCCTGTCTCAGAGGGGCTTTCTAACTTTCAGTGGGCCAGACTGTGCCCCCCCTGTCTTGCCTTTTACTCCGATGGCCCTAATCTGTGGGACAAGACTGAGGCCACGTGCACCAGGCCCGTTCTTCCTCTCTGTGAAGGGCTGGGCCCTCAGTCTCTCAGATGGCATGGGTGAAAAGTGGCCAGGGGAGCTATCATCCCCAAGGCACTTCCTGTGCTCCCGCAAAAGCCTTCCTGGAGAGCATTCTGCTTTTCATGTTAGGGCATGGTGATGGATGACTGACTTACTGACTGGACTTTACACGGTAGCCCCCTTAGTGGACGGACACCGAGTCTCAGTCCTGGGAGCACTCTCTTTTCAGACAGTTCCTTTGGGGGAAGGCATGCTGGTGCGCTCGCTTGTGTCTCTACTGCTTAATGAGCACCTATAGGGGCAAGCTCTGCACCTGCCCAGTGGTGGCCACGAGATCTGCGAGGTGCAGCAGGGGGAGATGGGGTCGGGGACTTTCTTCTCTCAAGATACATCACAGCACCCCGCCCCTCTGCAGCTCTGCGCTGGAACCATCCGGCCTTGCTCCCTGAATTCTTGCTGGAGAAGAGGCTGATTTCTGGTAGCTCCATTTTCTGAGAGAATCTAAACACATCCAGGAGATTTCTGCCTAGCGCCTCCTACTGCCCCTCTCCTCTCATCGCAGGCAAGAGCTGGGGTGGGGGGAGGTGGTGGGGAAGGGTCGGGGAGACTGAGGAGACCTGGTAAATGTGCTACTACCGAATAAATGGTGATGGAGCAAAAAGGAAGCTCAGCCTCTGCTCCAAGCAAACCCCAAATTCAGATGAAGGGCAATGTAGGATGGTAGCTCTGTGTGGCTCAGGGGGCCCTTGGGATGGGCTCCTCCTTTTACAGGAACGATCTCAGGGTCAGAGGAAGTGGGGAGGCTGCTTCAAAGCCAGCGATAGACCTCCGAGGCCAGAGGATGGTGAGATCTGGAGCTGAGCACGAGGCTGCCCTAGGTATCTCTCGCCCTTGGGAAAATTGCCTTTTCATATGGTTGGGGGTGGACATTGCAATTTTTCTTTGAGGGTTAATTGTTTGGCTGACAGCACAGATAATTAGGAATGAGAATCCTGGAGAGAGGGTGACAGCACCATCTGCTGTGAATATGTTTCGGCCCCACCCCACAGGAGGGCCAGGACGTGCTGTTCCTGCACACACACACACACACAAACACACACACACACACACACACACACACACACACACACACACACACACACACACACACACACACAGAGCCGTCAGCAAAGATGTGGCTGCTCTACCGTTTGCTGTCAGTCCAGCACCAGATGATTTGGGTGACTGTGTCACCAGTGGGCCAGGATAGTGACCTTCCCCCACAGGTGTGCACACAGTGGGGCTCATTTAGCAAGTAGCACTAATACCAGGGGCCGATTTTTGTTCCTCCCTGTGCTCTAATGTGTTGTGCCTGGTCCTCTGCTGGCTGGAGGCAGGCATGCGGGGCTGTGCAAGCTTCACGGGGCTGTCATTGTTTGGGGACATCTTCCTGCCTCAGTCAGGATCTGCTACCTGCCCTGGCTGGCTAGCCTCGGGCCTGGGCTGCTTGCTCCAGAGTCAGGCTAGTCCTGGCTGTCATGGCCAGTAGAGCCGCTTCAGAATCAAGCTGAGAAGCCATTGTCCGGAGTAGGAGCCCTTTCTTCACACGGGCAGAATGCTATGGGGTTATCCTTCTCCTTTTCAGTTCTCATGAATAGATCACATATGTAGGAGAGCATATGGGTGTATACATGCCTTCGAAGGGAAGAATAGTATCTATCCATCTTGTCTTCCAAAGCGTCCCTATGTCCACCATGCTGCTTGCTGCTTTTGAAGAAGGTCCTCAGGTGCAGAGCTGTGGGGAGGTAGCTGGAGGCTGGTAGTTACGTAGCACTTACTCATGGCCAGTTCTCTTTGGGCCTGAGATGCTCCTGTTGCCTCAGTATCTCTCCAGCTCACTTTTCCTGCTTCTCACCCTCACTCCACTCTCTTTTCACTCTTCTTCTTAGACTTTCCTTTGGGGAAGAGACCAAAGGCACGGCTGTCTTATCTACTCCCTAACAAGACGAGTGGCCTCTGGCTTCCCTCCCACTCAGCCCTCATTCTCTGTGGATAACTTGACACTTAGATGAAATTAACCTAGCACAGGGATGCTTCCCGGAACAAAATGATAAATAAAAGTTGAAAGTGCTGGCCCTGACCTTCTCCAACTTACTGTGTGACGTCGGGCAATCATCTCGACCTCTCTGCGCTTCTGTTGCCTCATCTTTGAGATAACTCTTCACAGAACGACTGCAAAACAGGATGCAAAAGCAATCTCTAGGGAGCAGTCGTTACATTCGTGGGATGTAAGCCACTGTCACCATCCTGCTCCAATAGTCCACGTAGGCCGGAGGGAAGACGTGTGTACTTCGGTGCCTTTCCTCCCTGCTTCCTGTGCCTGGCGCTTCCTCTTCCAGAAGTTGGTGTTAGTCACCTGGGCTGCTGTTCTCCATTCACAGCCCCTTCTCAGCAGCTGGCCCACTGAGGCTGAGAGGACCCTGTGTGGATCTCAGCCATGTGGGCAGCAAGCTGGAGCCCAGGCCTGATGAGTGGGGCAGGGCTGCAGCCATTGTGGTCCCCGTGTCCAGAGCAGGTGACGCAGCTGCAACTGGAGTCCTCCTGACTCCTTGCAGAATATAACCCATAGTCTTGGCCCTGAAATGTCAGGACTCAGTGGGACCCGTATCAGTGGCTTGTGCTGGGTGTGGGTGTGGGTGGGTGTCTCTCGTTTCTTGTCTCGTCCTTTGAGTTAAAGGGCTGGAAAGACATGTGTCATGGGTCACAGGTAGGGTGGTCTTCCTGGAACTCCCAGCCTCCAGCAGCCCAAAGCCTTGCCCCAGGATTTGGCAAGTAGAGAATTGTCCTGTTCTCTCCCCTCCCATTGGCAGAGTGAGAACGTCCATTTCCTTCCTCTCCCAGAACACTGGGACAGCTTAGGGGTCCTGTTGGTGCTCTGAACTGAAGTCTGAATGACAGCTAGCATGTGGATACCTGATTGAAAAGGTCTTTTAAGTGAATAGAATGAAGTATGCAGAGGTAAGAAAGAAATCAGGAATGATGGATGTGTATATGCGCGCGCGCGCGCGCGCGCGCGTGTGTGTGTGTGTGTGTGTGTGTGTGTGTGTGTGTGTGTGTGTGTACATGTACATGCATGCTTCATGTGCTGAGCACTGTCAGTGGGAACCCTACATGGTATAACCACCAGGCACTGTGGGATCTAATAGTAAAGAACAAAAAGAGGCCAGCTGGAAGATCCCAGAACAGTTCACACCTGGACTTGTATGTCTGGGCCTAATTGTGATGGAGACCTCTGTTCTCCTTGCAGATCCCCCCTGAAGAAGCTGGGAGCTCGAATCTTCCCATCCCTGAGGACTAGGCCAGCCAGAAGAGGAGGAGAGAATGGCTTGGGGCTTACCCAGGGCTGAGCAGTGAGTCGCAGCTTCTTGGACCTGGAGCTCCGACTGGGAGGCTATACCGTTGGAGTGACTCAAGAGGAATTGATGCTCTGGCCCCCAGCGACATGTACATGGTGTAATGACAGGTAATGAACCTGAAGCTGGGCTATCCTTTATCAATGATATGGCAGGTAGGGGAATACATCAGCCTGCACTCCACATACAGTGTCAGCCTCGAGAAGATAACTGTGCAAACAAAGCCCATGAAGCCTGATAAGATGATAGATGGACACCTCAGAGTCATTTGTTTTCACCCATGTGCTTGCTGAAGCCAGGTACCAGAAGATTTAGCATCAGCTAAGTTCACTTCCTAAGCCTTGTGGGAAGGCCTGGCACCATGGTTATGCATGTAACATATCTTATTTGAGGGATTCAGAGTACAAATCAAGGAGTCACTATTGTCACGCAGGAAACAGGGAGGTTGTGTCAGCAAGGAAATTGAGGTATCAAAGGGCAAAGGAGCTCTTATATACCCGTGACGCATGAGGGGTAGACCTGGAGCTTTGTACCTTGGGACCACCCCAGGTTTGGTTCAGATGCCTGGAGTTTTGGTGCTCTTTGGTATTGCTCATGAAAAATAGAAATGTGGACTGTGCCCAGCTGTTTCTTCAAGGCGAGTGAGGGAAGGTTGAAAGTGCCTGGGGAGGTCCTGTGGAGGGGTGTAGCAGAGTCCAGCAGCTTTTTTGCGCCTAGCAGTTAATCCCAGGATTTAGCCAAGACAGGAAGCATCAGGCAGATTCCCTAGGACCTAGAAGACATGGCCTCTTGAAACTGGAGGGACAAGGGGCTGATAGGGCTGGATATACCAGGACCGAACTGCTACTACTGGTTGTCTGGTCTGTACCGAATGCACCATGAAGGTGACACTCTGGCAGCCTCCCCCATGGGGAACAAAGAAGGCTGAGACAGAAGCAAAAATAGCTTCAAGTCTTGGGAAATGACCTGGGGCAATGGGAGAAAGGCCAATGGCTAACAGCAGGCGGCCTGAGAGGGTGTGGCAAATTCCATCTAGCTCAGACTGAGTTGAGGTCTTGGTCAAAGCCAAGGGCTGGGGAGGAGCAGAGCATTAAGACTCCTGGGTGGCCTTGTTTTAAATCAGTCAGAAAGAATACATTGAAGGAATTTAGCAAGCTAAGCCCCTCTCTCTTGAAAATGCATAGGCTACAAGCCACAGGTGGGGGTGCCCCTGGACTCCTACCTACTGGAGGGAGTGGAAAGGAAAGGAACTTGTGTACTTGGAGCAGTGGGGCCTGGCTTCGCCTTGGGGTGGGGGAGGCAGCTCCTCCCGTTCTGGGTTAAGCAGGAGCATCATGGTCCACATTCTTGCTCTGGGTGGAGCAGCTGATCTACACATTTCAGACTGGGCTGGGGACTGGTGAGGGCTGACCCTGAGAAGGGTGTTTCATGGGAGAAAAGTTGGGCCTGAGTAGAGGCAGCAGAGGTCCTGCCCTGCAGGGATGGGCTAGGATTCTGGTAGCATGCATTTGCAGGGATCACAGCTGCACCATGCTGATTAACCAGTATTTGCCAAGCACTTATTGTATTAGTTGCTTTTCAGTCGCTGAGACCAAGTAACTGACAGAAACAGCTTCAGATAGGAAGGTTTTAGTTTGGTTCGTGGCTTGAGGGGATATAGTTCATCATGGCCTCAATGCTGCTTGTTATCTGTGTGAACAAGGAAGCAGAGAGCTTGGACTGGAACCAGAGCTAAGGTGCATGTTGTATTTTAAAAACGGCCTGGCCTCGGCCTTGGCAGGTGGAACCAAGGGGCATGGAGGAAAGTCATTCACACCATGCAGGCGGTACCCACATGAAACGTTTTATTATGGGGGAAGGGAGGGGAAGAAAGAGAAAACAGGAAGGGTCTGAGGAGAGGAGAAGAAGAAGAGAAAGAGAAAAGGAAAGAAAAGGAAGGGAGGAGGTGCACACTACCTCATGGCAAGAGACAGACAGAGAGAGAGAGAGAGAGAGAGAGAGAGAGAGAGAGAGAGAGAGAGAGAGAGAGAGAGAGAGGGGTTTTCTCTTAAAGAGGAGTTTAAGTAAGATGACGTTGTCAGGGTGCTGGATCAGCCAGAAGGCTAACAGTGTAAACCCCACACCATGCCACTCTGGCCCTACATCAGCTGGCCTCCTATCTCAAAGGTTCTATAGCCTCACAAACAGCACTGCAGCCAGGGACCAAGTCTTCAAACACTTGAGCCTATGGAGGACGTTGAACATTCAACTGTTGACACCTCTCAAGTTACAGGCACTGAGGCCAGAGCCTTAGAAGGCAAGATTAGTTAGGGTTTCCACTTCTCCAACAAAACACCATGGCCAAAAGCAACTTGGGGAAGGAAGGGCTTATCTCATCATATAACACACACACACACACACACACACACACACACACACACACACACACACACACACACACACACACACAAATATATTAGTCCCTTATCCAGAGAAGTCAGGGTAGGAAGTCAAGGCAGGAACTTGGAGGCAGGAGCTGATGCAGAGGACATGGAGGGGTGCTGCTAACTGGCTTGCTCCTCTTGTCTGGCTCAACCTGCTTTCTTTCTTCCTTCCTTTCTTTCTTTTTTTTTTTTTTTTTGAGACAGGGTTTCTCTGTGTAGCTTTGGTGCCTGTCCTGGATCTCGCTCTATAGACCAGGCTGGCCTCGAACTCACAGAGATCCACCTAGCTCTGCCTCCCAAGTGTGCCACTGCTGCCCAGCTCAACCTGCTTTCTTATACCCTCCAGGATCACAAGCCCAGGGGTGGCACCACCCACATGAATCACTAATTAAGAAAGCGCTCCTCTCCCCCAGGCTTGCCTACATGCTAATGTGCTGGGAGCATTTGCTCATTTGAAGTTCCCTCTTCCCGAATGACCCTAGCTTGTGTCAGATTGGCATCGTGGCAATGGGGCAGAGGAGATAGCGTAGAACCAGGTCCAGGCCTTAAGTATCTCCAGACATTGCCTTCATATGAGGGGAAACTTGGTCTTACTCAGGTGGCTCAGGAGAATTCAACAAACAGAATTTGCAAAGCATTTACCTGAGCATGCGGCCCCATAATAAGTCATCAATGCATTGAAATTATGTCATTATTGGGCTCTCATGGGGTAGCAGTGGGACTTGGAGAAGCCCCACTCTACCTGCAGCTTCTGGTAGAGAACGGATTTACAAACCTGGCCATCGGAGGTGCTCTGGCCACAGGATGGGAGTCAAGGTAGAGCCTAGCACTCGGAATTGCTAAGCATGTTTTGAGTACTGCGGCAGAAACTGCTCTCAGAGCAGGACAGGAGTCAGGAGAGGCAGTCAGGAATTCAGAGACATGTTGAGCAGAGAGAACACATTCAGAATTCTTGGAGAGTCTGCCTCCCTACATCCCACGTAGTTTCTCAGAAGGGGGCCATAGAAGCCAAGTTAGGTCTGGAGATTGGAACCAGCCATGGGTATAAGCCATGGTAGTCACTTTAAATTTGTTAGTAGCCATATTGGAAAATGGAAAAATTAGCTAGTGTCATTGATTATAGCAATGTGTTTCATTGAACTCAGTATGTCTAGACTGCTGTAACATCAGCATGTAATCAATATACCATTACAAAGGAGATGTGTTAGTCTTCTTCCGACAGAGACTTTGACATATGGGACGCACTTTATACTTAATGGCCCATCTCAGTTAGGACTGGCCACACTTCAAGAACTCAGTGGCAATATGTGTCTGGTGGCTACTGGACTGCCCAAGACAGTTGTAGAATCTAGAATCTCTTTCCAAGGAGCAGCTGAAGGCCAGGTGGGTCCAGAGCCAAGCAAGAACAGAGATTACTGTTCGGTGGCTTTCTTACAAAAGATCTATAGTGTCTCTGGAGAAATTTGTGGAGGAGACAGGAGATGTCTTTTTTTTTTTTAAGGTAGGGTCTATGTAGACCTGTTTGGACTCACTATGTAGCTGAAGATGACCTTAAATTCTTAATCCTCCTGCCTCTGCCTCCCAAGTTTAAGATTTCAGGTGTAAGCCACTATGCCTAGCTATAAGAAGTGTCTGCAGTCACTTGCTAACAGTGATGGCTTGTGTTCTCTGGAGCCAGGTTGGCTCCTGGTTCTCCAGATCGTTGACTCAAGTCTCTCCTTGTGTGAGTTCGAGACTGCCTTCAGGCAGTTTCTAAAATGCCCTAAAGCATTCAGAGCTTCACTGAGAGCAGAAGTAATCATTTCTATTATGCTGGGTAGCTATGAGGACTAAATAAAATGGCGAGTAATTGCTGTGTGACACTTGGTGTCAAGAAAGAACTTTTTTTACTTTTGTGAATCAAATGGCAACAAATCTGAGTTCCTTTACAGGTTGAAGTTGGCAGACTTCCTAGCCAACGTTTCTGCAGTTCTGCCTCTGCCCTTCCCTTGCATGAGAACCTTGGCATTTTGCGACTCAGGAAAATGGGGGGTGTGTGTGGGCTGGCCAGCCTTCCAGACCTTGGGGAAGCTTCGGCCCCCAGTGGCTATCTGGAGCAGCCTGCGTCCATCCTCTCTAGGGTGTCACCATCACCAGAGTGCACCAACCCAACACAGTGAAGGCAGTCAGCCAGCGCGGGGTCCGAGTCATCCTGCTATCTCGAGGTCCCACGCAGTGATCCGTCAGTGAGAGTTTCCCATCAGTCTTTACTCTTCCGCTTCAGTCTCAGCCTTTGAACCAAGGACTCAACCCCTCCCTCCACAACCATAAAGATTCAGCTCCTTAGGATAAGAAAGCCCATATTTCATTGTCAAAAAAAATATGGCCGCTCTCTCTGGGAAACGGGGGACGAGGTACACTTATTATTCCGTGACTATCGTCTGCAGTTGCCCCTGGCACCCAGCAAGCGCAGAAAGCAGTAATTGCCGTGTTTTTATTAACACAGTGTCCTACATGTGTCGCTGGAACTCCGCAAGGTCAAGTTCCCCTATGCACAGGCTCCATCCAAAGAATGCATTAAATAAAATTTGCCTTCTGGGGTTTTCCTGAGACTCACATTGAGCTCCTGTGTAAGGAAGGCTTTTGTAGAAACAGTAAGTGCTTATGAGACTCTGGGTTCCTACAAAGGTTGTCTGGCCTGAGAGCTG